ACCACGATGCAAGGCGCGATACGGGAAACGACACGTCCATGCGAGTGCGCATGCTGACCCACAATAATTCACCCACGGCCTGTTGCACAGACCGAAGATCGTCAGCATTGTACTCTTCTGGTTCGGGAGCAACCGTTCCAACCGGCAACGGGCAATCCACCCGTTTCAGATACTGCTGATACCGTCCCGCCAGATCCTGAATGTAAGCAGCTTGTGTCAACCGAAACGCACCACGCTTGGTTATCGAGATGTCCATTCCAAGGAACCTCAAAGGCTTGCATGCGGCCGTTTGAAGCAGTTGCGGTTCGTCGCACTGCCAAAGCTCAGAGAATGCAGCAAGCACCGCCTTTACGACTTCCGAACACGCGCCAACCAGAACATCATCAACGTAGATGATGACCCAACCTTCGATGGACGAGGCATCCTCGGGAAAAGGACTCAATCCCAAGCACGGCTCCTGCTCGGATAAAAGCCATAGTTGGGAATCGCTCGCCGATCTCCACAGCCTAAGAGTCTTACCCCCAACCACAATCTTCAAGTGCCGAAGCTGGGAATCCCGAATCAATCCCCAATCGCGTGGACTCTGGTCCAATCCATACAAAGCCTTCAGCACGAGCCATGCTTCTGACGATGTGGCATACCCTCTCTGCTGGAGGAAAGTTGGAGGACGGACTGCTATAATCTCGGAACGGTCCTCAAGAATCTTTGGAAGCCCATGTTGGTTACATTGCAGCTCTTCCTGTACTGAAGTCCCAGATACTTCTGCTGCTACTTGCTCCGCCTGCTGACGGTCACGAGGCAGGAGTCTGGCATTCAGAAACGCCGTCTTAATGTCCGTGAGGCCCAAGATGAAGCGACGATAGCTAGAGAATGCAATGCAGAACCTGACCGTGGATAGATCGACACCAGCTGCGTACAGTTCGTTACGCTTTTCATGGAGGCTGCTGGTCGACTCACCGTTCGCTCCAAGGTAGTTTCCACAACCTACAATTCTGGACTTCAATCTGGCCGATGGCGCTTTTATGCTGTTTATTATCTTCGCAGGTATGATGCACACTCTGTAACCCAGTTCAGCCCATTTTTTCACAAGGCTCCAAGTCGTCCTAAACAATGCTTTCTTTTCATCAATCAACGAAGACAACTCTGCCCGAATCGACGGATCCCAGAGATGAATATCCCGAGCCACAATGTAGTTCGGCACTACCCTGGTCTGCAGGACTTCGTTAGAAGCAGCAGCATCTCGATCGTCCAAGCCCTTCAAGGCCTCACCGTCAACACAACAGCCCACACGCCCAGAAGGGAACTCGACACTTGAGTGATGCAAGCTCGCATCCGTTGCTTCCAACGACCAATCCAACACCCCGATCTCAAGCTCTAAGGCCTTCTGGGCTGCTTGTAACGCTTTCACAGTGTCCCTCACGGCTTGCCCATCGGACACCAAATCGTCATGCAGACCCAAAGCCTTTTCAACCAAACTTTCTCTTACATCCCACAATTGCGTTGACACGTCACGGTGTTCCTCCAAAAGCAAGGCCAACCGCTCCGCATCCGAACCACTAATGCACGGCGCATCAACTTCACCGCACACGTTTCCGGAAAAAAGATCATCCCACGCTGCAGTCTCAAGTCCTGGAGCGAGGAAGAGGGCAGAGACGCACTCATCGACTGCCGAGGCGTCATCACAAGGCCGAGGCCCTTCTAAAAACCCGCACACTCCCCCCAACTCAGGACCATCAAAAGGATCATCACTAGAACTACGCGGCGACTCAACGGTCATCTCCGACGTGCAATCACTGGGCAACGCCCTGAGGGCAACAAGCTCACATGACTCGCACTCACCCCCACCGAGCACCTCCCCAGACTCCCCATGTTCAACGGCATTGCCGACGAACTTACGCCCACACACCTCGCAGTCACGCTCACCACAGAAGCATGCCTGACATATGCTGGCATCACTGCTTGACACATCACGGGTCCTCGCATTACTACCAACATCAAGAGCAATCGAAACAGTTTCGCTAGCACTACTGCTACGATGCCCGGAGGCGGAATCCTTACTGACCACTACCTCCTTACATATCACTGAACAAGCCTTCACACCACTCTCAAGGATAGCACTCTCTCCAACAACACTCCGTCTTTTTTCGGGTTTTGGGTTTTTTTCTTGTTTGTTTTGTTTTGGGGAATTTTCTGAAGATTCATGTGCTGAAGAAGAGGGGCCTCCCCCTTGCCGGAGCTCATCCGGCAATGGAAAACCCAAGGAGCATAGTCTCGCAAGATCAGCCTCAGTCGCCTTATGAGCATGCGATACAACATAACCTACGATGACTATCCTTACTGCCCCAGCGCCTCCCGACGGCATGACACGATGCCACAACTGCGCATCAAACTGAAAAGGTTTGTCAATCGGAAGCACGTGTCCTACAAGTTGTTGACCTGATGATAACACTTGCGTGCTGATTTCACCAGTTGGCGCTTCATCTTGACCAAGTTCAACCCACAATCCTCCCCCGGACCCGGAAACCGAGATTGGCAGGACAAGATTGGGAAAACGACGATCATTTTGGCTATCTCTATGCACTACTGTAGCAGCATCAACACTTACAACCAAAGTTGTGAAACGACACTGCGGAAAACTCGACACCAGGAGCTTCGCCAACATCTGAGTAAGTGCTGGACATGTATCAACATACTTCGTAACTCCTGCAACACCCCCGTGACGCCACAAACCAAACACATGATGTGCACCTGCTGTTCGTTTGGGCTGCGGCCTACAGGAGGCTTCAACTAAGGAGCTTGACAGAATGAGGTCCTTTGCAGCCTCAGTATCCATATCGCTGGCCTTTAAGAGAGCCTCGGCACACCGCTCATCCGCTTGCAACGGCATGTTATCGACAGCAAGCTTTGCAACATGAAGTTTTCCACGCACGCGTCGCGCGGGGACTCCAGGACCTTTAGATCTACGCCTAACGAAGGGTCCTAGCGGTCGAGCGGGCACCTCTCGAAACTCATCTGCATCATCCGGCACAAGAGCATCATCAGCATCTTCAGGTTTGTCTGGGACCTCTGACTTGTACACCCTCGTAGCAACCTTCACTCTACCTTGGGTGTTAAGAACTACAACTGCATGTCGAACAAATGTTGCGGGAGCCAATGCGACAGCGCTTTCTGCACGCGGATGCCAATCCCGTTGGCGACGTCTGAGCCAAGATCGTACCAACACCTGAACTTTTGTACCCCAGGCCACTAAAGGAGGCTGTTTCCAACCCAGACACTGTAATGTCTTCACTCTCCACACATGGGCAGAGGCTTGGAAGGCCAGTGGCCACAAACGCTTATTATCGCCTACTTGCGCGAGATACGTTCGGGTTTGTGCTTTAAGCCTGCGCACTGCATTCTCTGCACGCCCGGGCGAATTCGGCTCTTGGGGCCCAGCATGGCTAAACTCCCAATGACGACTACGAGCTAACTTTACAAGAGGTGCAGAGGTGAACTCGCGACCTGCATCCGTATGAACCCGTGTTATTGGGAATCCGTAGGACCTAAGTTGGCTAGCAATAGCACCAATGGCATTCGTGACTTCAGAGGGGCGCTTTGTGTCCAGAAGTTGTACAAACGGCACCTCGATGAACTGCAACTCCAACCCGTCGTCAGCATCTTCATCTTTGTGATCCGGCTCAGCCGCGATGTCAAGAGGAGCATTAGCATCATCCCCGGCATCATCTTCATTTTGTTTAGGGGGGCCGTCCAGGAGTTCATCGAGATCCTCGGCCATCTCACCATCGCTAAACACTCCCGCACCGTGATCACCACCGTCACCTTCTGCACGATGAGCAATCTTAGTTATGTAGCCTTCTCGCTTCACTTCGTCCCGTTGTGCCTCGGTGAGGAGGGGACCCCCAAACCGATCCAGTGGCAAGACATAGACGCCGACCAAAGCAAACCTTCTTTTGGACGACACGTCATCAATCCCTTTGCCATAGGGGCCTGCGAGATCTAGGCTAAGACTGAACGCTTGCGGAATCCGCACTCGCCGGTGAGGTCGTTGACACGCCTGCCCTAGTACACACTGCGGACACCCCCGATACGGAGGCCAATGACCTCGCTTAACATGAGCATCATAATCGAAGAGTGCTTTCTTTACCCGACATACCCCTAAAACCAGGCGCAACTCATCCATCAAGTGCTGGAGTACTCCAGGGGCCCATGCGGACCAAGGGGATGACTCATGGAACGGACCTGACCCTGGCTCATCCACTCCTATTCCTGGCCCTCGATTGGTTAGTTTGGGAAGGGGCCTGTTTGATGCCCATGTGGTTGGCTTCGTTCCTGGATGTCCATACGGACCTTGATCTCCATGGGTTTG